CCTTTGGTTTGTAAATAAAAAATTTTTATTATACCAGAAGTTGTGTTTGAGACAGAATGTTAGACACTTAATGAGATATTTTTTTTCTGTCTTTTATGCAAATCAGAGTACTTTTACAATGCCCACTTTGCTGCTTCTATTGCCCCATCATGGTCAATGTTTGTGTACAATGAGGTGACATCCGCTGTACTTAATATACTATCATCAGTGAGTGGTTTTTTGCATTAATTGAATAATATGTCTAGTGTCTTTCAGATGTGCCTTCGTTTGTACCACTAATGGTTGCAAATATTGATCTATATATTCTCCCATCCTTGCCATTAAAGAGTCTATCCCATTTATTATAGGTCTAATTGGGGGATTCACAGGGTTTTTGTGGATCTTTGGTACTGAGTATATTATGGGCAGTTTGCATACTGTTGGCACCAGATACTTTGCCTCTTTCTCATTCAATATGTGCTTTTTATTTCCATAATTTACTAACTTTATTAACTCTTTTTTATATTCTTTGTTTGGATTATTCTTAAGCTCCTGATATGTACTTTCATCTTTTAACATATCCTCCATAGATTGTTCATAAAATGTTTTGGACAATACGACTATACCTCCCCCCTTATCTGCCGGCCTAATTACTATGTTTTTTCTCTCCTTAAGGCTTTTAATACCTTTCTCAAGGTTATAATTGTGTTTATACTTTTGTGTTTTCAGTTTTTCTAAATCTTTTGTTACTAATTTTTTGAAAGTTGTTATATATGTATTATCACTAGATTTGGGGTTGAAAACATATTTGTTTTTAAGATCACTATGTTGGTACTTTGATATTTTGGCCATTTGGTTGTGTTCTATCGGGTTTTGAGCATAATATTTTTTAATATTTAATTTTCTTATAAATTTCTGTAAACTTATGTACATTTCAAATTTATTCAATCCCTTATTAGGAGCAAACTTCAAGCCCTGATCTAATGCGTAGATTTCTTCTTGTTTTAGGGGTGTTCCACTTAGGTTAAAAATTCCTTCCCCTTTTACACTCTCCTTCTTTTTTTGTTTGTGTTTTCTTCCTCCTCTGTTTCCCCTCTTTCTACAATGTTTTGATTTACTTCTCCTGGGTTTTGATTCCACTCTAAAAAAGGGTTTGGTAAAGGCGTGTATGATTCTTCTGATTCTAATGGGGAATACCTGTTTAATACCGGAACGTTAAATGATTGTGGTGTTTTCTTATCTGGTTATTGTTTACATATTCTGATGTATATGTATTTGTATTATCATTCCTGTATTCATTTCTGTAATTTGGCCCATAATTTCTACCTTGATTATAATGATTGTGGCCTTGATGATAGTAAGTTTTGATGCCCTCTGTAGTTATAACCTCTATTTCTATTTCTATAGTATGGTCTACCTCTTGATTGTTGGTATGGTGGTGGGCCTCTATTTTGATAGTAATATGGTGTTTGGCCCCTATAATCATTCTTAGGATATTGTGTGTAACTCTTTTTGTTGTTAAATTCTTCTCTCACCTGTTGCGGTATAGGTGGTTTTTTTTGGTAATTGTGATGGTAAAGCCATTTGTTCTTGTTGCTGCGTCGGTATCTTTTTTAATGGTATTTTGGGTGTGTGTTGGTGTGTACTTCTTTGGCAATTCACTAATATGAAAACACAACTTTCCAGACACCCATTCAAAATTTTTACAGAAATGGCGTCCTTAGCTTGATATAGCTCAACCAGTCCAACCTCTTGCCGATATAAAACTTATATATCAGCTTATTTTTATATTTTTATTTTTTATTTTCTCTGCCGCGGTCCCCCTGGAGTCCCCCCATTTTTTTTTGTGTGTGTATGTTTGTCTCCTTTCTCTTAGCTCCTTTCTTTTCTCTTGTCTAATCTGTCCTCTTCAGGTTAGTTGTGCTGATTGTGATCCCTGTTTTGAGTCCCGTACCAGCATACTGCGCCCATGTGCTGGACTCCTATGAGAGCCCTGCATGTTAAGTACCTCTCTGTACTCAGGGAGGCTCTTTCTCCTATTCATTTTGCATTGTGTATGTTGATTTTGCAACAATTTTTCCTGAGAGTTTATTATATTATTGGTCTCTAAATGTCTATCATTTTTGCAATCTATTGTTTTTTTGTTTTTTTTTTTCCTGTACGGCAGTTTATTTTCATGTTTTCTCATCAGTACATATTCTGTATTTCCCATCACATCTTCTGTAGGCTATATTTTTGCTGGTCATTGCATATGTTCTTGACTGATTTTCTGCTGTTTCCTATTCTATAATAAAATTCTTTGTAAAAGAAAACACAACTTTCCAGAATACATTATATGGTAACTAGGCTGTACTAGTGAGACCTCTGCTGGTACTATACACTATGAAGAAACTCTAATTCACTTCACACATGAAAAATCAGAAGACTTTACATCTCTGCAATAGCAGCAAGAATTGTTGAGGAATGTGTATATTACAAGTGAATAGGCACGGTTTACTAAAGAAAATGAACAAAGGCAGGGATGTATGACTATTGTTTGCATGAAGGAGCCTGTGGATGTAGGCATGCACAGAAATCCCTGTCCCAGACTTATCTTGTTAACAAAATCTTTGTATGCACACTGAACATAATTTGGTATCTAAATATAATCAATGTTTTTCTAAATGAGACCCAATAGCTCAGACTATGAACTTGCTAGGGTTAAAATATTGATTGCTAAAATTATTATATGGTACACTATACATACACTTACAAGTCCTGTAGATAAAAAAGAATCATATGCTGTGCAGGGCCTGCATAATATTAGAGACATTAATACTGAATTTGCTTGATGTTGCTTTCAAATTACTTCATTGTGGCACAATGATCAAGGATCAAACTGTGCTACAAATCAACAAAGACAAGGCCTCAAGCATATACTCTAGGAAACAACTTTTTTTTTAATATGTAAATTCTGGAATGCGCGCGCGCGCGTGTGTGTCTCTTTCTCTCTCTCTCTCTATATATATAAATATATGTGTGTATACTATACAGTGTGTGTGTATATATATATATATATATATATATATATATATATATATATATATGCATATATATAAATACAGTATATTTATGTGCAAGTATTTTTTAAGCTTTTAAAAAATGTTTCCCCAGTGTGTTAGTCATGTCAATTGTAATTACGTTCATGGAACTACATATTTAAAAAAGGTCGTTTCCTGGTGTATATGCTTGAGAGGCCTTGTATGTGTATATGTATATTAAAGTGGTTGTAAGTACATTTTTTGTTTTTTTATTAAAATAAAGAATGATGTTATACTTGTGTAGTGCATTGAAATGTTATTACTTGCAGTACATTGAAGTGGACATTAGATGGCGGTGGTCTGCTATTCAGGGTTACTCACTTTAACACAGTGGTTCTTAACCTGGGTTCAATCGAACCCCAGGGGTTCGGTGAGTCAGTCTCGCGGGTTCGGCGGAGGTGAAGACCCACACCCGACTCATATGATCCATGCAGTAAATATTCATTATTATGTTTTTGTTTTTGTGTGAAAATCATGTTTTAATGGTTTTGTTCTTTGTTCTTAACGGTTTTGTTCATTTTGTGCACCTATGTATAAAATATATACCTATGTTTTGAATTTTAAAAAATCATATTTTATTTTTCCAATTAAGAAGGGTTCAGTGAATGCGCATATGAAACTGGTGGGGTTCAGTACCTCCAACAAGGTTAAGAACCACTGCATTAACAGCACAGCTCTTTGGAACTTGTATTTCTGAACAGCAGGACTTGGCTGATAAGCAGAGTGTCTGGGACTACATTTCCCAGGAGAGGTAGCATGTAGGTGGGGGGTATATAAATATCAAAGCCCAGGAGATTGTAGGGGAGAGTGCAGAGGGAGATTGAAGGAGAAGGAGGTATGCTGACAGCTGAACTAGGCCACGGAGTTAGGATTGGAGAGAGAGAGAGTGGAAAGAATTTACTGACTGGCCAGCCTGCCATACTGCTAAGCCAGCCACTCTGACAGCAGAAGACAGAGCGAAATGCCAAGTCTGAACCAGAGGGTCTGTAGACTGTCACTATCCATTGGGAAAGACAGATTGCGGAAATCCGACAAACCACATTGGTCAGGTGAGAAAGACCCATGCATCCACTAACAAAGTGAACATTGATAGTTCGTCACCTCAGTTATTTACCTGCACAAAGTTGTGAACATTACATTCAGTTGCTCTAGTTTGCAGCCTAGTTATACCAGCGCCATCGTTGGAATACATCTACAGTAAAGTTATCATTCAAGCTGACCACAGGATATACAGTTACAGATCAAGATACAGCAGAGCCAAATGAATCAACCATTCATTTTCCCTTTCTGCAGAGCAGGATTCTTACTACTATTCATCCTTTGCCTTTGTCCATAGACATTTATACCAACTGTTGCCATTTACTACGTCAAGCTTAATTCATGGTTAGAGCCCTTAAAGGGAACCTTGCACTAAATTCTTTATCATCAATCAGGGAGGTGTTAAATCTTCTCCTTTTTCCTCACTGTCTTTGATGTGACCACCTTAAGGAACTACCATCCACCCCTTTGATGCAACGTCACATCAACTGGGCCACAACAAACTTGCAGAAGACATTATACATCTCCTGTACTATGTCTGCAGTCTCTTGGTCATCCCCTGTACTGTCTGCAGTCTCTGGTCATCTTCTGTACTGTCTGCAGTCTCTGGTCATCCCCTGTACTATGTCCGCAGTCTCTGGTCATCTCCTGTACTGTGTTTGCAGTCTCTGATCATCCTCTATACTCTCTGCAGTCTCTGGTCATCTGTACTGTGTCCGCAGTCTCTGGTCATCTCCTGTACTATGTCCGCAGTCTCTTGGTCATCCCCTGTACTGTCTGCAGTCTCTGGTCACCTCCTGTACTATGTCCGCAGTCTCTGGTCATCTACTGTACTGTGTCCGCAGTCTCTGATCATCCTCTATACTCTCTGCAGTCTCTGGTCATCTGTACTGTGGCCGCAGTCTCTGGTCATCTCCTGTACTATGTCCGCAGTCTCTGGTCATCTCCTGTACTGTCCGCAGTCTCTTGGTCATCCCCTGTACTGTCTGCAGTCTCTGGTCATCTCCTGTACTATGTCCGCAGTCTCTGGCCATCTCCTGTGCTGTGTCCGCAGTCTCTGGTCATCCCCTGTACTGTGTTCGCAGTCTCTGGTCATCCCCTGTACTGTGTTCGCAGTCTCTGGTCATCTCTGTACTGTCTGCAGTCTCTGGTCATTTCCTATACTATGTCCGCAGTCTCTGGTCATCTCCTGTACTGTGTCCACAGTCTCTGGTCATCTCCTGTACTATGTCCGCAGTCTCTGGTCATCTCCTGTACTGTGTCCGCAATCTCTGGTCATCCCCTATGCTGTGTTCGCAGTTCTCTGGTCATCCTCTGTTCTGTCTACAGTCTCTGATCATCTCCTGTACTATATCCGCAGTCTCTGGTCATCTCCTGTACTATGTCTGCAGTCTCTGGTCATCTCCTGTACTATGTCTGCAGTCCATTGGTTCAGAATATGTTTTTTCTTGTTTTTCTCCTCTAAAACCTAGGCGTGTCTTATGGAGCAAAAAATACAATAGGTTGACCACCACTGGGGCAGGTAAATTCTGGTGGAATTCTGTTAAAGACACAAATAAATGCAGCTCTGTAATCAATATTGGATCATGAAATGTATTTTCTTTGAACGCAAGCATTGTAAGTACCTATATTTTACTTTGTTTAAGTCTCTTGAACAGTGTTGTACACACCTACCAGATTGAAATTCACTGACATGACACCCACATTTTACTGACACAGCCAAGTTTTTACTGGCATTTCCAAAAGTTAAAGTGAAAATTTCCGTATTTACAGAAAACACTAAAAGGAGGACAATTCTGCAGAAGTGGGAGCGGGTACCTGTCAAATTCAGGTACCAGCTCCCCATCCCTCCCCAAAGGTCTGCAGTCTCTTGGTCATCCCCTGTACTGTCCGCAGTCTCTTGTCATCCCCTGTACTGTCTGCAGTCTCTGATTATCCCCTGTACTGTCTGCAGTCTCTAGTCATCCCCTGTACTGTCTGCAGTCTCTGATTATCCCCTGTACTGTCTGCAGTCTCTGGTCATCCCCTGTACTGTCCGCAGTCTCTGGTCATCCCCTGTACTGTCTGCAGTCTCTGGTCATCTGTACTGTGTCCGCAGTCTCTTGGTCATCCCCTGTACTGTCTGCAGTCTCTTGGTCATCCCCTGTACTCTCTGCAGTCTCTGGTCTTCTGTACTGTGCCCGCAGTCTCTGGTCATCTCCTGTACTATGTCCGCAGTCTCTGGTCATCTCCTGTACTGTCCGCAGTCTCTTGGTCATCCCCTGTACTGTCTGCAGTCTCTTGGTCATCCCCTGTACTGTCTGCAGTCTCTGGTCATCTCCTGTGCTATGTCCGCAGTCTCTGGTCATCTCCTGTACTGTGTCCGCAGTCTCTGGTCATCCTCTGTGTACAGTGGTATTTCCTGTAGTCCCTGGTCATTTCCTGTACTATGTCCGCAGTCTCTGGTCATCTCCTGTACTGTGTCCGCAGTCTCTGGTCATCCTCTATACTGTCTGCAGTCTCTGGTCATCTCCTGTACTATGTCCGCAGTCTCTGGTCATCTCCTGTACTATGTCTGCAGTCCATTGGTTTAGAATATTTTTTTTCTTGTTTTTCACCTCTAAAACCTAGGCGCATCTTATGGTCAGGTGCATTTTATAGAGCTAAAAATACGGTAGGTTGACCACCACTGGGGCAGGTAAATTTTGGTGGAAATTCTGTTAAAGACACAAATGAATGCAGCTCTGTAATTAATATTGGATCATGAAATGTATTTTCTTTGAACGCAAGCATTGTAAGTACCTATATTTTACTTTGTTTAAGTCTCTTGAACAGTGTTGCACACCTACCAGATTGAAATTCACTGACTTGACACCCACATTTTACTGACACAGCCAAGTTTTACTGGCATTTCCAAAAGTTAAAGTGAAAATTTCCGTATTTACAGAAAACAAGTACAAACAAGTACAATATGCAATAAGCAATGTGATTTTAGGTAGATATTAAGGCAAAACCATATTTCTTATTTTATTTTTGATATAGTAAGTAAATAGTTCAGAGACAGGACTCAAGAGGGCAAGAAATTTAGAATGCGCAGGCACACACACATGAAATTGACTCTTACAGTGACACTGACAGCAGTGTGCAGCAGCAGAGATGATGATGATACCTCACCGACATGGCCCCTCCTGAGTCATAGTAACAGTCTCTCTCCACGCCAGGTGGACCCTTCTGTCCACTCCAGTCCAATCAGCACTGATAGTCCTGCTGCCAGCTTGCCTTGCTCCCATCCCGCACTGTAGCAGGCACTCGGATGTTCTCGGCCAGCCCTGGACTGACACTGTGCATGCGCAGTTGTGAGCCGAGCGCCACAGCCATATTTTTAACTGTCAACTGTTTTCTGTCACTGGTATTTACTAGCAGGAGAAAAAGTGCCCATTTTTTACTGGCTGCCAATAACAATACTGACGTTTGGCAACACTGCTCTTGAAATCCATGAACAGCAGAGCTCAGACTGGAGAAGGAAGAAGCACAAGTTATTCAGGTATGCTGTAGTGCAATAAGCATTCTGATAGGAGGAAGTGCAAAGTGACAGAAATGAGCTTATCAGTCTGCTGCTTCTCCTTCTGTCTGGCAGGGTGAGGTGGGAAAGAGACCTGTAAGTGAAAGATAAACTGCAGCAGAAAAAAAAGGTCCCTTCCCCTGCCTGACAGGACTGTGCTGGGTTGCAGTGCTATGAAAATCTCAGAACTAGATGGACAAAAATACAAATCCTTTGACAGGTAAAACTACTCCCCTTATACAATATACAGTATTTATTATGTGTATTTAGCTGTTTGCCTAGTGGTCAGCTTTAAAGCTGAATGCTAAGGGCAAAAAAATTGCATTGGACTTGTAAAAACAAGTTACTGCTAAGTGCAGTAATCTTAGGTCTGGGTTCCTGCTGTGTCGTTTTAAGCTGATAGTGACACTAATGCTGGAAAGTATAGGCCACAGTATATTTCCTGCACTGAGGAGATAAGAATTGCAGCTGTGACAGTGATGTTGGATTCACATTAGCCCATAGGTTGTGGTTTGTCTGCGGGAATTGCACCTGTTTCCACACCCACAACCGAATCCCACTGCTCTTGCGAGATGTGCGGGGCTGCCATTCATTCTGCAATGGCACCCCCACGCATCTCAGCCCGCAGTGTGATCTCAGGTGCGGGAACCACAGGGAAAATGTATTGTCAAAAAGACCATGCGGTTTCCCTGCGACTTTCATTTTTTTAAAAGGTGCATTCACCTTTTTTGTGTGGGACATGCAGCACAGTAGCCCATTCAATGAGTGAGCTGCTTTGCCCAAGCAAATGCGGGCCACACGGACCGCAATAATGTGAACCAGGCATAAACAATCTTGTCATTCACACAAGATTTTCTCTTGTCTATTCACAAAATTCCTGCATTTTGAACAAAATAAAAAACCTTTTTCTGAAAGGATGAGGGGAAAGGAAAGGAAGGGTGAATGACAGGATCCTTTGGTGTCACAGCCACAACTTTCATCCCTGCTGTGCCAGAAATACAGTGCTGCCTGTACTTTCTGGCATCAATGAAACTATGATTTTTTTAACTGCACAGCAGGGATCCTGACCTAAGAATATAGTCCTTACATGTAACTTGTTTTTAAAGAACACAAAGAAAATTCCTGGAGTTCAGCTTTAGCCATCCAGTTTAGCTATGACCTGTATGGAGATGATATGCTATAGTAACCTCTGTCCAACCCTTAGTTTTCTTGCCCCCTACCCACCTGGTTCCCACTTATGCTCATAAACCAATGCAAAACAGAATTATTTCTTATATTTGGCTAAAGGATGGAATCCCGCATCCTCAGGCAAAAAATACAGAAGACAATGGGGGGAATGGAAGTCCCAAATCTAAGGAAATTTTATGAATCTAGTCAGATAGCACAATGAATGTATCATCAGACTACTATTAAAACCCCATTGTGAGTACCCTTCAAAATCCAACTTTTCAACCTATCCAAATCTCTTCTATTTTGTGAAAATACCTACATTACACCAGAAAATTAAAACTTACTAATGCAAAAGAGCCTAAACATTTGTGAAAAATATAAGTCCTTTTGTAAACTAGTTTCCCTTGCCCCCCCCCCAGCATCATTTTTTACAATCCTATTTTTCCATCTTGCTATTAAATGCATTCTACTAGTGGGCCTCCAGTAAGTTTACCATTGTATATAAGGTCCTAACAAATTCAGGAATACGTTCATAGGGTGACCTTGTAAGGAATATTAAGGAGTTCATGAAGAAAGGTTCTACTACATATGGTAAAATCGCTGTGTTTAATCCCTGATCAAGAATAAGGACTCATCAATACAAATAAAACCCCTTTAAAATTTACAATCTTTTCAGAATGCTGCCTGCTGGCTTCCATGTCTGAAGCAATTATTTTAGTGGTGCCTAAACCGTGCAGGGATTTGTGAAGAAATCACAGTGCTAGGCTACCCTCATATGTTCCCACACTCACCAATGGCTGTGGGCTCTTAGATGTAATGTTAAGAGTCAAGTGCACATACCCTGCAGGCCATCCGGTGTTGCTGGGACTGTTCCACCTCAAGGATCGCTCCTCCGCTGTAAGGACTGGATTCAAAGGCTGGTGTACTCACATAAAAAGGAATGGCAAAATGGGCCACATAGTGTAATAAAATTTTTTATTAAAGTGTTACTAGACCCAGGATCCTGCATACTATATCTGGTCTCCCACAGTCCACACAACATGGAAATGCAATAATTTTAGTAAATATAAAACTGCTAAATACCTTTTCCCATCAGCAGTTAGAGCAGTCTTGTGACTTCTAACAGTGTCTAGCCAAGCATTCTGATAGGAGGAAGTCCATGTTAAAGCTTATAGTAGGAATTTTAATTTTGCTCTAAGAGGATGCAGAACCCATGACCTCTGTCTGGACCCCAGACACACACCTCTGTCTGGACCCCAGACACACATCTCCCGGGTCACCTTAGCCGGAGTCTGCACTGCCATGATACAAGTCCTACAGTTACTGGCACAGCGCCTCCACACTGCCCGGCATCCCAGCTCCATGACCGAAAGAAAAGAGCAGGTCTGGCACACAAAAATCCCGCTCACTCCTTCATGGGGGAAGAAGACACTGAGTATTGAGCACCGGTCATCCATGCCGTATGGCTCTTCGGGGTTGAAAGGTTACCTTGGCCCTCCCTCCATATACTGACATCAGCATCTGCGATTAGTCAGCGAAGCTTAACTGTGAAAGGAGGCACCAAGAGCATAGATCATCTTTCTGTATATGTGGCTGCAGAGAGGTGAGAGCATGTCAGTGTACATGT